CGGCGGCGGCGGCGTGCGCGCGGCGATGAGCGTCTGCAGAAACGAGGCGGAGGCGGGCGGCAGCTGCTGCGCAGCGAGGGAGGCGCGCAGTTGCTCGGCGAGGTCCATGGTGCGCGCGCGGCGATGGGGTGGGAGGGAGGTTTTTTCGTCGCAAGGATGGGTGAGAGGGGGGGTTCTAGATGTTGCAGTGTGTGACGGGGGATTGACCGAAGAACGCGTTTCGTGGTGGAGAAGGTGCACGATGGCTCCGTTTGCGAGGGTGGGATAAAAAGTAAAGGCTTAAAATGTGAAGGTACTTCTAAATGAATACCAAGCGTTTTGAATAATGGACAATTGAATGCTGCTTGCTTTATTGGTAGATTGAGAAGCTACAGCGAGGTGAGAAAAGTTCACTCAGCTGCAGGTTGAAGTCATTTTACAACCAAACTTATGGGGAAGGTACTAAGTCGTTATGTTGTCGACCCCTTAGGTCTCCCAGGTTTATAAGCTGGTAATTGTTCCGTCGATTCCTCTGCTATATCTACACGATTTTTGTCTAATAGACACTAATAGCAGTAGAAAACACTATGGAAGTGCACTTCCAGTGAATGTGCGGATTATTAAGGGGTACACAGGGACTGCGAGGCTGCTTCTGCTGCGCGGAGATGTCATTTGCGAACTGCGCCGCGTTTGGAGTTGCTCGAAAGAATTTCGGTAGCCGCCCATGCTACAAACCCTAATTATCTCCACCTATAAAGCGTTCTCTTTCCCGAAAGCTGATATTTTGACAACAAGAATTGGTCAAATGACAACAAGCTAACCGAATTGGTATAGACCCGAGGACGGCGAGATCAGCTTCACGCTCGACAAGGACGTCGCTAACACGCACCGGGCGCCCGAGTTAGCGATGCAGAGATTAACGATACAGACGATACGGGCGATACGGGTGATACAGGCGATACAGGCGATACGGGCGATACGGGCGATAGGTGTTATTATTGCAGATTTAGGGGCTAGAACGACGCCTGAATAAGTCAACAATCAATGCCGCCAGCTTCATCATAGCGAATTTATCAATTCCAGCCATCGTGGCAACCTCCTTGATAGATGATGTAATTAATACTTGTTGAGAATTAACGCAGGTACTATCCCCCATAGAACTTGGTGGAGTGGCTACGTGCCTTCCTCTTTCCCACCCACCTCTCAGTCTCTTCTCTTCTTCTCCAGCATCATCAGTTTTTCTCCAACATCATTCCGTCGTCCAACATCATTACGTCGTCCAACATCATTCCGTCGTCCAACATCATTCCGTCGTCCAACATCCATTCTTTCAAGACTCTCTATTCTCTTCTCTTCTTCTCCAGCATCATCAATTTTTCTCCAACATCATTCCGTCGTCCAACATCCATTCTTTCAAGACTCTCTATTCTCTTCACGGCCTCATTTTTTATCACTATTCATCGGCGCCTCTTCCATCGTCAAGGTGCCCCAGATCAAGCTCGTCGCCTCCCGCTCCGCCGACAGCGTCTCCTTCCTTTCCTACCTCCTCAAGACCACGGCCTATTAAGACGTCGTTATAATACCTAACATTAACCCCACAGTAGATAATGGTATATACTTATTATGCTCTACATTTATAAAATACTAATTAATATTCTAGAGTATACATCATGGCTTGTCCCGTTTAGCCTGATTTATAACGGCACGCATCTTCTCTACCTAGCAAGCGTACTGACGTGCTACATAACCATCATTATCTGCGAATATGCCTTAGAATAGGTTCTCACTGGTTTCCTTTGTGATATCCAATATTCTACTACTCAGTCTCGCTCTTGGCGTTGCGAATTACTTCCCGATTTGATAAGCCTGGAAAGTCGTTGCCTAGCTGCGGTGTAGAGCTTGGGTGTAGTGTATCAAGGGAGGGAGTGAGGCATCACGACCGGTCAGCACGAGCAAAAGCAAGGGAAACAGGTGTATTGTGTGATGATGGAGGGAAGAGAATCTATCAGGAGGAGGCCAGCGTGGCCAGGTCAGGTCAGGTCAGCACCCACAGTGGGGCGTGCCTGCCAACATTGGGGACCTGTTAGGCACTCCAGGATTCGGGGAACTTGGCGTTCAGTGGGTTGGGTGGTTTCGCCAGCTTGGCTGCCATGTCGTGTAGTGCTCTCAGATTAACTTCGTCGTGCCATGCAGGCATGGGCTCCGTGACATCTTTGAGTGTCCATGTGCGGCAGAGCTCTGTAAGCTTGAGGTCTGCTGGCAGGGGCTCACTCGGTGCGGTCGATGGCTGGGAGGTCGATGGCTGGGAGACTTCTTCTTCAGTCAGATCGTCGAGTAGATCCCGATGCTTCGTTCTCTTGCGCTTATGGAGATAGTATGTCTCGGCTAGTATCTGGGCTGACTGGCTTGGGTCAGGGGCATTGGGGGGGGGGGTGTGTTCTGGTGCGTCTGCCGAAGCTGATCGCGGGCGGGAAAAAGAAAAAGAAACAGGTGCTGTCGCTATCGATGCGATGAGAACCTCAATTTTAATGAATTTTGATTGTCTCTGATGATCTTGCCGGTGTTGCTACCATTTTGTTAGGCACTCCAGGATTCGGCAAGATGATGATGTATTCTCTAGCTGAGTGGGTGGCTTATATGCCCTAAGTCAGGCAGTATCTCACTTAAGGGTACCTTAGTGAGTTCGGCTAAGGGTGGCATCCCTTAGATAAGGTAGCCCTACTAATTTCTAATATACACTATATCAAGGTTAATTTAATAATAGCCGGCTTAGAAGCTAGAAGAATAATCTCCTATTACCTAGTATATCTAGTACTTATCTATACTATATAACTAGATAGAAGATATATAATATAATAACTTTACTTCTTACTCTATATATACCCTATTAGTCTTAATATAATTAGTTTATAACTAATTGTGAAGGAGTCGGGCTCGAGCCCACTCCGGCTAGACTTGGCCTGAGGCCACTACGGGCGCGCCCCTGGCGCGCCCCCTTTATGTACCATAGCAGATAGACAGACTAGCTTTTCCTCCTCTCTTACTCCGTAAGAGAGTTAATACTATTGTAACGCCTATCTGCAGATGCCCTAGGGCCAGTCCTCAACACTAATTCCTAATTAGTTTATAACTAATTCCTAATTAGGTTAGTAATTAGGTTAGTAGTTAAGTATTTAGGTTAGTAGTTACTTAGGGGTAATAATATATAATTATAGTTAGTTAGGGTTAGGGTTAGGTGTATTATATACTTCTAAAAAATATAAAGCTACCTTATCTAAGGAATACCACCCTTAGCTAAACTTACTAAGGTACCCTTAGGTAAGGTATATCTATGCCCTAAGTAGTGCTTATATGCATATAATAGGACCTTATATTATAATTTAAGTAGAGATTATAGTATATATAATTAGCTAGAGACCTACTTATAGTAGAAAACTAGAAAAGGATAGTAGTATATAGATAAAGAAGTTAAGTTTAAAGAAACTAATCTTAATTACTAATAAAATTAAGTAATAAAAAGATATATTAAAAGAGTATAATTAAGCTAATTAGCTAGGCTAAAAAATAGATATAAAAAAGAAAGAATTTCCTTTTTTAATTAAAAAAGAATAAAGTAAAAATAACTATAAGTTTTAATATATATTATTTTTTAACTTTATTATATAAAATTACTTTTAGTTATAATTAGTTATTTAATATTTATATTAATTTATTTATATAATTTATAAAAGTTATAAACCTAAAAAGTAAATAATAAAAAATATTTTTTATTATTTAAAATTTCTATTTTACTTATAAACTTATTAAAAATATATAAAAATATTTTTAATCTTTTTTTCTTTTTTTTTTAATATATTAACTTAAGAAATAATAACTACTTTAGCCTATTTTAGCTTTAAACTTAAAAAATTAAAATAATAGTATAAGTAAGAACTTTATTTTAAAGCCTATATATCTTTAAAGTAAGTCTAGAGTTATATAGATTTAAACTAGTCTTATTTTAATAATAATTTATACTTAAAGCCTTATAGGTTTACTTAGCTTTAATATAAAGATAAATACCTAAGTATTAACTATATAGACTTAAAAATTACTTATAAAAAGGTAATAGATTTTAAAAAAAAAATAATAACTATAGTTAAAAAAAGGTAAAAGAATATTAGTTTAGTTTAAGTTTAAATTAATATTATTATAAACTTTAAGCTTTTTTTAAAAGCTTAAAAAATTATTAAAATAAAGGTAATAGAATTAAAAGTTATTTATAATTAATATACTCTTAAAGATATTCTTAAAGAATTAAAGGTTATTATTACCTTAAATCTTAAAAAAGTAAGGTAAGAGGTAAGAAGAAAGTATAAGTAAATTATAACTATTAAAAAGATAATATTAAATAAACTAAATTAAATCTAGATATAAAAAAAAGTATATTAAATAATACTACTTTATTAAATTCTTAATATAGAAGGATTAATAACTATTATTAACTTTTTAAATATAATTAAAAAGAAAATAATACCTAAATAAGCTATATTTTTAAAAAGGGATTTTATTAATATAAGTACTTTATTAAAAAATAATTTAATATTAAATTAAACTTTATAAACTATTATAAATATATTTAAAAAAAATATAGAGGAATTAAAGTATAAGAAGTTAACTAAGAATACTTTCCTTATATTAAATAATAAATAAAGAAAGAAATCTAAAAAGTAAGAATATAACTACCCTTATTAGAAGAAAGATTAGACTTACTTATAGAAGCTAGAGGAATACTATATTATCTAAAAAGTATACCTAGGTTCTTTTAAATTAAATATAAATATAAATAAATTTTAAATAAAGAAAATTAAAGAAATTATAAATAAATCTAAATAGGCTACCCTTAAAATATCTATAAATAAAGGAAAATAGCTATAAAAGGAATATAATATATATATTCTATTTAAAAGTACTCTTAAACCTATAGAAAATATATTCTTTACTATTTATAGAAACTACTATTTATATTATAAAAATATACTTTTAAATAATTATAGCTTATACTATATTATAAATAATAAAAGCCTTTTTAAGCTAGATTCCTATAAAGAGTTATAAAATATCTTAATTAAGGTTAGAGATTACTAATTTATTATTATTAGTATAGAAATAAGAATTATAAAATATATTTTAATTACCCCTAATAGGCTAGGAATTAACCTTTATTTAATAAATATTTATTATATTCCTAGCTTCTATATAAATTTAATCTTAGCTAGTATCCTAAGAATTAAAACTAGGCTTTAGATTAATAACTATAATAATACTTTAAAGGAAGGTATACCTAAAAATAATTACTATATAGTTTAACTATATAAGAAAGATAATATTCTATTCTTTAAATATAAATTAATTTAATAACTAAAAAAGCTAATATCTTAAAAAATAGTCTTAAATACCTTTAAATATAGTCTTAATTATATATTAAAAGGAATATTCCTTTCTAAAAAGGGAGATAGTTATTTATAATATTTATAATTAGGATACCTTAAAAAAAAATTACTTAAGGCTTTAATTTAAGAATTAATTAGTAACTAAATTACTAGAATATAATATCTAGATTATAAGG